AAACTACATGTACCCCCTCTTAAACTCCGGATAGCCAATTTATATTCTACTAGCGTTATTTGACCCTCATCAGGCTCGCTTATTCCCCTCCCCCCCCCTCTACCAGATCTCAGCCATGGGGGGGGGGGGGGGATGAAGAAAAAAAATGAAACTTGGCATACAGATAGAATATATGTCATCAGGAATAAGCCCATAAAGTTTCAGATCTATACCTCACATATTTTTATTTTTTTATTATTGCTAATTGATCAATCACTATTCACATATCTGTGAATTGACAATTCTGCATTGTAAACAATACATATGAGGAAACGTTCATTTTGACAATGCACTCCATATCTGGAAAAGATTGGATAATAAGTCATGAAAGCTCATGGTGCAAAAAAAAAATCCTGAAATGTACAGTGCGTCCCAGATAAAACGAAACCGAGAATTATCAATGTTTTATCATAACTTAGATCCTCCTCTTTCATTTGATGCAACTCATAATAATGCATATTTCACGCATGAGTGATTAAAATCAATTTGAAGAGAGGAAACCCAAAAGTTGTTTGGCGGGCGGTATCTGACGAAAGACTTCATGCATGGCTGATTGTCAACGAAATGGAGTTAAGTCTTTTGTCAATTCTGCTTTTTGCTACGTCAGGCAGCCAGTGAAAACAAATTTGTTTGCTAAAATTATGAAAATGTAAGGGCTACTTTAAACAAACAGAACTTTGTCATTCCTAGCTCATTTTTCCTGAATGAGGTGTCATATGAAAGGGCAGAAACTCAACTTTCTAGAAATGTGATTTTCTCTTTGAAATTCAGATACCGCCCGCCAAACGACTTTCGGTTTTCTCTCTTCAAATTGATTTTAATCACTCATGCGTGAAATATGCATTATTATGAGTTGCATCAAATGAAAGAGGAGGATCTAATCTTTCCAAATATGTGTCATTTATCAATTATAATTGTGATTAAGTTATGATAAAACATCGATAATTCTCGGTTTCGTTTATCTGGGACGCACTGTATTGCAGCGTGCCTCAAGATTGGGGGATGCAATTTGCCCCTCCCCCCTCAGCCCTTTCAGTGTTAAAGTTAGGCTCAAAATGTTTCAATTATAGTGGTGTACCTATTACTGGATCTATTGACAATATGTAGGAGACAGTGAATGTGCACAAGTCCTTTTGTGTACATTTGCCATTCATTAAAAAAACATTTTTAAAATGTGATAGATTTTTGCACCATATCTGAACAAGCTTTCACTCTTTCACATTCCTCATAAATCAAACGTATCTGATCGCAATTTCATACCTCATCATCGATATGGTCTTTTGTTGTTCCTTGGTTCATGAGTTGACCTTGCGTTTGGGAGAGCTGGTGTTTAACGACGATTCGGATTGCTTCCTTCTTCTCCTTGTCCACGTATTCCCTGACAGCTAGGCCCAGGAATTTCTCTGACAGCAGTTCAAGCTGCTTAGTCTACATGGAACCACAAGACCAAAATAAAGTCTGTTTGTTATAATTTCAGTCGTGGCTATTTCAGTTCCATTCCATGTTTAAAAGAAACAAATTATAATCAAAGTTAAAGTTGCACGTTGGCAATATATAAAATAGCATGGAGATACTATCTACCCATGGGACAATAAAGGTCATATTTTGTACAAACCTTTAAATCCCATCGAGCCTATTGCTCGGAATGTGATCATGAAAGGTGGAAGTATCCTTTTTTGTAGCGTGCAAACAGAAGGTATTGAAATCATGAAGTGCCATCACTTTGGTAGTGATTTTTCGAAAATGCGCAAAGTTGGGACTTAGTCACAATCGATATAGCCACAATCAGGGTGCAAAACCATTTGCACTTGGGTCCAAAAATGAACTATGCAATAGAGCAGTTTCATCAACCCCAAATTGTTCATCCATACCCTAGGGTTACTACCTTGCAATATCCTGGAGGAAACTATCTTGGTTATCATTTTATGAACAGCAACACAACAGGGGGTGGCAGGTGTTACGGACACTACACAATTTTACTGAAATAGAATTTTCAAGCATTATTTACCTTAACACACAAATATTTTGCACTTCTTTGGGGAATTTCTTGGCCATTTGTGAACAATAAGAACAATTCACACTCACTTTGGTCCATAAATTAGACGCAGTATACACATAAGAGGTAACACAAGGTCAAATCTGATAAAAATGCCATTTTTTCAAAACCTGAAACTTTTTAAAAAGCCAACCAAACATTGGTAAATGAGACAAATTCCAAACTCAAGTCCCATCTGTATACATATAAAAACAAATCAAATTGCTAGGAAGGCTGGTTTCATATCATAAGTTGTCCAAAATAACTCATGTACAAAATCCTATAGGATGATACAGACACTACATTTTATATAGTATACATGTACATGCTTTTCTTTGATGCAATATATAAGTAATCCATTTGCTTTTTTTCTGCCATCTTGTTGTTGTTGCATATGTTGAGGCCAACAGAGAGTATCTTTTCAAATCCTCATTACCAAGTCTCTTGGATAGGACTTAAAGGGAAGTCCACCTTTCAATAGAAGCAGACAAATCTGACAAACAGAAAACATAAGTTGTTCTATGTAGTTCCAGGGGTGGCCCAATTGGAGTGTGTTTTTTCTTCTTCTCCATCTTCTTTGCTCACTTTTAAACATTGAAAGAAGCCTAATTAAGTCATAGGAACATGAAAGAAGCATAACTATTTAGACAATTAAGGAAGATGAAAGACGACATTAAAAAAAGAAAATCATCAAAAATAGGAAAGAGAGATGAAATAATGATATAACGAAGGAAAGCATGAGGAAAGAAGGAAGAAGAGAATAAAAAGAAGAACAACTTAACCCTTACTGTACTGGGCTATTTTGAGCACCCCATGATCTCGGCCGTCGAAAGTCCGATGAACACGAAAATTTGCATGTTTGTAGATATGTACGTAAGGAACAAGATGGTATAATTATTTTTTCTTAATATGCAAATTTATTTCTCAAGGAACGGATCTACCTTACACGACTCACCAAGAACTCAGCTAAAGCTGAATTTGATTCAACGGCAGCCGACATCGCCAGTATCCTTTCTGCTGAAGACAGCGAGAAAGTAGTCCAAACTATCAACCGTGTGTACGAGGATGTTTACCAGAAATGCAAGGCACGCCAACAGGCCAAGTTCACGGGTAATAGAACCTAGAACTAAAGGTGCATTTGCAAACACCACTTCAGTCAATACTGACAAGTGGGTAGTAAACCTCTCATCGCGTACTTTGACACCTGCCGAGGATGCCGTTGAAGAAAGGCCTCAACTTCGCTGTTGCTCCTAAACGGATCCCAGTGACTGAGATAGTCGCCAAGGTGGAATCTTCAATCAGGACCCTCGACGCCGAAACTGCCGACTCTGTCCGCAGAGATGTAGATGCCATTCTACAGAAAGCACGGCCTCCAAAGCCGAACATCCCGAAGGATATGCGTAACGCAATCAAATCCTTAAAGGAGGATGATTCCATCATGATGTTGCCAGCTGACAAGGGCCGGGCCACTGTGATACTAGACACTAATTCATACCATAACAAAATGGCGGATCTAATAACCTCGGGACCGTACCGAGAGGTCAGAAAAGACCCCACGGACCGACTATGTCGCAAACTCACAGGTATATGCTACTCAGTCTAAAGAAGGATGACAGCATAGACGAGTCAACATACCGGGAACTGAGACCCGCCCACAAGCAACCTCCAAGGATATATGGTCTGCCTAAGATACACAAGCCTGAGATTCCGTTACGGCCCATTGTCTCTTGCATTGGATCCTTTGCTTATGAACTATTAAAGCATCTTGCAAACATCCTTGCTCCTCTGACGGGCACATCTGAACACACGGTTCCTAACTCCAGCGGCTTTGCTGAGTTTCTGCTAGATCAGACGGTCCATAACAGTGAGACTATGGTCTCATTCGATGTGGTGTCTCTCTTCACTAACGTACCCATAGAGGACGCATGCAGTGTAGCCCTGAAGCGCTTGCAGACAGATGATAAGCTATTATCTCGCACTAGTCTCAACCCGAGACAAGTTACAGAGTTATTGGATTTTGTACTCCGCTCCACATACTTTCTCTACAAAGGCTCCTTCCATGAGCAGACGGAGGGCGCAGCAATGGGCAGCCCCGTATCTGCAGTGATCGCAAACCTGTACATGGAGGACTTCGAGGAAAATGCATTGAGAGAATGTCCATCTTCATGTGCGCCCAGGGTATGGAAGCGCTATGTTGATGACACTTTCATTGTAGTCGCACGATCGGAAGTCGACAATCTGCTCAAATACGTCAACGACCAACAACCATCCATCAACTTCACCATGGAAGCAGAAGTGGACAACTCCATAGCGTTCTTGGACACTTTGGCTCATAGAAGCAGTGCTGGGAGCCTCACCACTACGGTCTACAGAAAGCCGACGCATACCGACCAATACCTAGCCTATGACTCGCACCATCCCGTCGGTCAAAAGAGGTGTTGTTAAATGCCTACACGACAGAGCGGATCGCATCGTCACTAAGCCACAAGGGGCAAATGCGGAACGAAGTCACGTGAGAGGCGCTCTATCTGCCAATGGTTACCCCAAATCATTCATATGCAATGCTTCCAAGCAAAGGCCAGTCACTACGCAGGATGAGCGTAAGGAGTACAAATCCATGGCTGTGCTACCCTACATTGAAAGCATCGCACCCCAACTCCGTCGTCGACTTGAGAATCATGGTATCCGTACCATCTTCAAATCTGACACTACATTGAGGAGCCAACTTGTCAACCCGAAAGACCCAGTTCCTGAACACAGACGCAATGGTGTGGTATATAGCATACTGTGTGGCTCATGTGATAAGGAATACATCGGGGAAACGGGCCGGCCAGTAGGTGAAAGAATGTGGGAACACAAACGTGACGTCAGATTAAGACTGACAGACAATTCAGCCGTAGCCAAACATGCTTGGAACGAGGAACACCGACCCGACTGGAATGGAGTAAAGTGCTTAGCAAAAGAACAGCATTGGTACACACGCCGCGTAAAGGAAGCGATCCAGATTCGGTTACAACCTAACAACATCAACAGGGACAACGGGTTCGAGATTCCGGATTCTTGGATCAGAACCATACGACGGCACGCCCCACGTAATTTCACCCGGACACAGAACATCAACCAGTCGATCAGCGGCACCACCCACGCGGCTTGCACCGGCTCAACCAATCAGAGCAAAGGACACGCAACATCAGACGACACCGCAGCATTGACCAATCACGACACAGCGATTAACGGCACTATTTACGCCGTTTGTACCGGCCCAGCCAATCAGAGCGGAGAGCGCGCAGCTCCGGACAATGCCGCAGCATTGTCCAATCGTAGCCCAGCGGTCAGCGTTACCGCCTACGCCTCCCGCACGGACCCGTCCAATCAGAACGCTGGACGGGTGACGCCAATTAACGACGAACCGGTCAATACCGGTACTACTGTTAGTAAAAGGTATAAATGCGAACCGCGCACCAAAATATTTGTCACCTGACGAAGTACAGCAGCAGCGTACGAAACGTTGTGAGATTTCTTTCTTATTACACTTCGCGAGACAACTGGATATTTGTTCAACTCTTGATTTTCTTTCCGCGATGGACAACATTTTTCGATGCAAATTTTTGTCGTTATAGCCTAATTAATTATGCAAAATGCTAATTTTATGCATTTTACAGATAACTCTACAAATTTGTCTGTAGACTTGTGAAGAATGTTGAAAATGTTTTGAATAAATGTTTCCTTCATCTCAAATTCATGAGGTTACATTATTTTTATGATATTATTTTTATGCATAGGTTAATTTGCATAAATTATGAATACGCATTCATGAATATCAAATCTGGAAATATACATGGAACTAGAATCATTACAAAAATTGTCAGACTCCACTTTTTGAACGTTAATTGAAACTCATTATTCAGATGAAACTTCTTTTCTAACACAAAATAGTTATTTTGATGTACCAGTAATAATAATGATAATTTATGCAAATTTGATGCATTTTTCAAATATTTATTTTCTTTTGTATTTTATTGTTTTTATTTCTTATTATATTTATTGTTTTATTTCTAATGTATTCTTTTGTTCTGGAATACATCAAGTTACTTTGAGAAACATAAACAAGCAATTCGATATCAATTCATATCTCCCAAATACATCTAAACCTGTATTGTACATGAATATATGCAATTATAGCATATTTTTGATGACATGCGCATACTAATTGTTATGTAACACCTTACGGTTATAACTTGAGGGAAAAAAGTCATGAAACGACAATTCAAAATTCCACGCGGTTGCGGCGCAATCTCTGAAAAGGTCGAGGGGGAGCCTCCCAGGCCCCCCCCCCCCCCCCAGTACAGTAAGGGTTAAGAAAAGAAAAAGGATAAGAATTAGAAATGAGGAAAAGGAAGAAGAGAGAAAGAAAAAAAGATAAAACAGTACATCATGTAGCATAATCACGGTGAGCCTTTATATTGGACACCCTAGATATTTGAAAATACAAAAAGACGATGTACTTCATTATTTTGAGAAGTAACTCTGAAAAGAAATGTATCTCACAGGACCTTACAAGATTTGCTCAGTGAGACCCCCCCAAAAATGTTGGAAAAGAAAGTACCCATGGTGTCCCTGTATATTATGTGGTGCAGAATTCAATGTGCGTTTAGAGAAGATTGCACTGCATGTGTTGCCCTCGTATTGTATGTGCAGTCCTGCAGGATATATTCAGTATGTTTAGAACCCATTTTTAGAAACTCATTAAAGTAGTGTTGGAAAATTTGGGGTCATAAACAGACGACAGTCTGTACTTTATGAAGAGTATTTCGACCAAGTGGTATACTTCTAAAACCTTTGACAGTGTACACCGAAAAACATGAACAAAGCATTTAAAAAAAGAAGAAGTGATAATATGCAAATTATGGTGTAATCAATAACCATTTTTGATACGCTTATTCAATAATCCTCATATGTTGGTGGTGGCAATTAAACCAGTATTCATAAAATCCTTAGATATATAATGTCAGTAAACAAGTCAAAAGCGACCTCATTCAATTTTTTTCTCTCTTTCTCTCCATTAAAATAAGCTTAATTTATCGAGAGAAATTGTGAGCAAAAACGTAGACAACAAGATATTTCATAATATGTAAATCCCCTCAAAGGGGGTGTCCTCAAAAGATGGTATTTTTCCATAGTCCTCAGAAGAAACTATTCATACATATGTACTGGTGTGCGCAAGTGTTTATGTGTGTGTGGACATAAACTACAATGTAGTGACTTTTGTAGGTAGGCCATTAAATGATTGAAATAATGTATTTTCTCATGCATCATACATATTTGATGTCATAGACAGGTTTTACATTGTTAAAATTCATTTTTAGAACACTGTTATCCAGAAAAGGAGGTACAGTTTGGCTTACAGGCCTTGATATTATTCCTCCTGTAATTCCTTAATTCCTTAGATAATCCCTAAACAGTTCAGGTGGATCTTTTTTTTTACCATGAGAAATAAAATCAAGACATTGAAGACACTGTATTTATCACAATATAATGCTACCTTGTCAACTGAATATAGTACTAATACAAGTCATTGCAATGTTAGCTTGGCATAACAGAAAATCAGCTGTCAATAAGACCCTGATTTCTTAGATACAGATATGATGAATCACAACAATTAAATAAATACAGATAGCTGTAGTACTGAAAAACCAGTTTTAATAAAATGATTAAAGTGGTGTATTGCACAGCTCTAACAGCATCAAAATCATTTCTGAATATCTGTTACCTCTTCTGTCCCTGAGAAGTACTTGCAAACAGAGTCTTCATGCCTCTCCGTTCCAAGAGCTTCTAGCTTGAAGAATTCCTCTAAGTCTTCTACAGGTTCGGTATCTGAAGGTAAGATAGATAACACAGACATGTAAGATATCTAAATCATAAACAATCATAATATAATAATAATATTTAATTTTTATATAGCGCTTAATACAAATGTCTTTAAGCGCTTTACAAATATGCTATTACCCTGGTCATTGGATTCAGTGCTTGCCCACACACAATGTGTGCACAATCTCCACTCCCTGGGGAGCATTCCAGCCAGGCGTTATATAACATTTTCGGTTTGAGCTAGAAGGACCTTAACTCATGTTGTTTTGGCTCTGGACAAACATAATGTTCTTCATTAACTGCAACGTAAACACTAATGATAAAAGCACTTGGAGATCGAGAGAGGGTCACTAAATCCAAACCTATCTTTTGACAGATCATTCTTGGTGACGATGATGATGGCAATGATGATGATGATGCTGATGCTGATGATGACTATGATGATATGGTTATGATGATGCCGACGATGGTGATGACGATGAAAATGATTTATTTATTATTTATTTTATTTATTTGAACATATTTAATCAGGATAACAAGATCAGAATCGGTACCTATATTTACAACAAGTTCATTAAAATCATCACCATTCAAATTATTAGAGATACCTGTATGATAGGTTTCCGTCCTATAAGCTTATTTACTTATTTCCATAATTTCTTACTATCACCTTCATACTTCTCAGTTACAGTATTAAAATAGTTACGTTTTCAAAAAATAACTTTAGTAACATTATTCCGCGTTTGATGATACTCAGACAAAATATGAGGTAGTTTGAGCTTCTCATATTTCTTTTTTAAATAATCTCTCTTAGACATAAGTTTCAGAACTTAACATAGAACCTTGAGACACGCTACATTCAATGGTCTTTATAGAAGAATGTGCATTTTCTATGAGAACATATTGCTTTCTATTATAGAGGTAGTTCTTGAACCACTTTAAGGGTAATCCTCTGATTCTGTAGTTCGAAAGTTTGTAAAGAAGTATTTTGTGATTTATTGCTTCAAACGTCTTAGCGGAATCCCAAAAAACCCTCACTGTATGTTCGAAATTGTCAATAGAGCGAGCCACCTTATTTATTAGAGTCAAAAGGGCATGTGTTGTACTATGCTTGTTTTCACGGAAGCCAAATTGTGCCTGATAGAAAATATTACTAGTACATAAGAATTTTACAGTAGGAACATATATTATTATGTACAATTTTTTTCAAGAACTTTAGATAAGATGTCAGCAAGGAAATAGGTATGTAGTTTCCTTACTCTAACGATCTCCTTTCTTGAAGACTGGACTGGAACAACTTTTGCCAAATTAATCAATTTAATCAATTGAGGCACCAACCCAGCTGTAAGTGATAGATTTAAAATATAGACTAAAGGATTATTTTTTTCAAGAGATAATTGCTTATTTCATCATGTCCAGAACTCCGCTTATTCTTCAATCCGTTAATTATGTTTATAATTTCACTTTCAAGAATTGGTTAAAATATAAGAAAGTGAATTTGGGGCTCCAAGGAAGTCAGTGAAATGCTATTGAGTCTGGTATTTAGGGGGCAAGGTTGAGACCAATATTTGACAAATAATCATTAAAATATTCCGGTATTAGTTCAGTATTATCAATAACTTCATTATTAACTTTAATCTTTGTAATTGTGGAAGTCTTGCCTTTCCCGTGTATAAACAAGTTTGATAACCTTCCAAGTATTTTTTAGGTCATTTGTATACAATTCAAACTGCTTACGAAAACTTTTTTTTTAGCTTTCCTCAAAGTATGTTCTTATATTCTGTATATTTATCTTATCTTTATCCAATAACTTAAATTTACACTTTAAATATTTTTTTTTTCTTGATTTATTGAACGTAAAAGAGCTTGCATTACCAAGGGATTCCTAGGAGTTTTTTTGTAACTACTTTTTTAATTACTAGCTGGAAAAAAGATCAAAAAAGATCCTAATGTTATGAACCAGAGCACTATAACACTGAATTCCCATAGGACATATATTTATTCAGATGGTCATATCTCAGCCAATATTTAATATATTCAATAAGTTTTCGACGATCGGACATTATTTTTGATGCTCTTTCCGGAAATGAAGAAAAAATTGAGAAATTCTAAAAACAGATTTTTGATGATGTCACACTTCACCACTCTATAGAAACAATAAGTATCTTGTATGTACACATGCAGCATAAACACAATCATCTAGCTTATGTGAAACAAGAGAGTGCAATATAACCACTAAACAAACGATATCACAAAGGAAATTGCTCAATATGTTCAAATGCATGAATAACGAGCTCCTATTGATACAATAAAATATACATAAAACATATTGTTGGAAAAGTTTGATCGAGTTAAAGCAGTGTTTGATCTCTTTTCAACTTACAGATAGATTAACCAGAGCACAACTGCTGGATAGACAGACAATAAATACATGTTTTTTTGTTTTGATTTTGTTTGTTTTGATTTTTTAATAGCTATCAGACAGGTGTAGCACATTCTGTCGACTAAAACGTGTTCATATGCTATATGGCTGTACATACAGCCAACATAGAATAAACAGGGAGGAGTGATTGTCCCTGGAATGCAAATTGAGAGTATAAGCACTGTGTGTGAGGACAAAAAGATAGAGATAAAGATTATAAGAAGTACATATTAAAACAAACATATGAGCAAGTGAACAGGTGCAGTGAAATGTACACAAAAGACCACTGGCAATGTACGCTACATGTGTAGTTGCATACATTACTTGGTTATAATCACTAATCACTTGGTTATTATCACTAATCATGTACCGTGACTGCACTGTGCACTGCACGTGAAATACGTATCTTGCCTATACGGCCGGAGTATAGTCATGTGGTGATAGTGAGCGACAGTGCTAGCGCGAGGCGTGCACGCTGTGCGGTGGCTATGACTGAGGGATTATGCATGGCACCCTATGCGCACTCTATATGCACACGCGCGCTCATTATTACACGCTGCAAATAGAAATAGATTCCCCCAAATCGGAACGTTCCGTTTTGTCATGGCTTCGAAAAACTCAAAAACGCAACAGTTCCATTAGAAACAGAACGGTTGGCATGTCTGTAAACAATGAGAATCAGTCTGCAAAACTCACCAATTGGTCCAGGCGTCAGATGTATATATTTATCCACACAATTATTGTACACAATATAATATCCACCATATAATTCTCATGAAAATATCTGATATGAAAGTCTGAAAAAAGCAACGCATTACATCACCGTATTACATCCTCCTCGATTATGATGAGGAAGATGATGACCGCGATGCTGATGAAGATGATGGTTAGTGGTAATCCCAATAGTAAGGTGTTGATGATAATAATGATGGTAAGGATGATGGTGATGATGGTAATAATGTTGAATATAACAACCAAAACCATGATGCTTGTATTTAACATTAATAAACAAAAAGAAAATGAACTCACCTTCTTTTGTTTGTCCTTGTATTCTTCTCTTACTACACCAGACAAAGTCATCCTTGTTAGCCACACGACCTACAAACTTCTGACCAAACCGTTTTCCGTTTAATTTGTTGTACCACTCACGGCAGTCAACCTACACATAGTAGTTAGAATAGATAGTAATTACAGCTCATAGACGAAATTACAAGTTATAAACCGGTAGGCAAGTTATAAGGTAACACAAATTTCCCTTCATCATGTAACCGAAGCTAAACATTTTTCCATTTTCAGCCCGACATAAGATCACAAAAGCTCACGACCCACTTTTGGTAAATTTGGTGTTAAAAATGCATGAGAATCATTACAAAATAGATGTGAAGAGTCATGGTGTAAAATGCAATACACAACTAAACTTGTCAGGTTACGGGGGGGGGGGGGGGAGGATTATATTCTCATATAAGGCACTGCAAGCAACAATTAGTTTTTCTCACCCAACTACCAATAACACAGCAATAACAAAAACGGAATAAAAAAAACAACCTCTGAAGTGTGCTTTTTTGAGAATCCAGCTAAAATTCCACCAGTCTTTGCAGTGTAAATGGCTGTTTGCAAAATACCAGTTTATATTCCTGTTTGCTCATGTGATTCTTGTTGCTTCCGTGCTCTGGCGTGAAGAGTAGTGACAAGTTGCCCATGCGCAATATTCGTCAAAAAAGCACATGAATTTTTTGATGGAAAGCAAACAACCAAAATGTTATACATATGTAGTGTAAAAAGTAGTTACAAAAACCAGGGGTTTTTCTTGTTTTTTCTGTAGTGTGAATATGCCTATAGAAGATGCATCTCACAAATGGAAAAAGGTAATTCTTCTACTGATTGTGAAGAAAGCACTATTTTTCAAGTGAAAACACCAATCGGATGAACCTCTTCAGTGAGTTTATACAAAGTACATTGACAGAGGACATACCTGAAGCCGAATCAGTGGAAGCGTTGGCTGTTTTCTGTTACCAGTGTGTTCATCTTCTGCTCTCTGGATCAGGGCTTCCACCTATTAAGACATGAAAGATTTGCAAAAAATAAAAACATCCAAACGGTGGTGTGGTGGTTCCGGTTTATACCGTAGCCGTTTGGTCTATACCCAGCCTGTCTAATATCCATATGGTCTAAGAATCAGTTTTCTACCCATTTGGTCTAATTGCCAGTCGATCTCATTCCCAGTTTGTCTAATGGCATTTCATCTACCATTCATAAGGTCTACCGTAATAACTTTTTGATGATTATTATTATTTATGGGAATAGACTAATTGGATGGTAGACGAACTGGTTGTAGACCATGCAGCAATTCATTGTGGTTCCTGTGCACAATGCATCACACCTCATTTAAAGCTCAGGGCAGATTATCCTTTCACTCTGTTGTCGTGAATATACATTGTACTTTGAATATTCATGAATGTACATTGTACTTTGAATATTCATGAATGTACATTGTACTTTGAATATTCATAAATATACAATGTACTTTGAATATTCATGAATATACATTGTAATTTGAATATTCATGAAATACATTGTACTTTAAATATTGTGCATTAACTAGTCTACTCAACAAGACATTTTACTGTTCACTGAGAATGCATTTAACTTGCGATATCCTTTTGCAGGAGTAATACTTAAAGCTCATATTTTGAATACAGTACACTTATCGCATCATGATCAAAAGGTTTTGGTAAATGATACACTTTAAGCAAATAGACCTCCACTGATTGGAAGTTATCAACTGCCTGATTTTTGTTCTAATTTCTATTAATTTGTCATGATTTATATATTTGGTTAGGTAGGGGAATAAATGACATAATAATCTTGTTATCACCCTAACCCAACTCTATATGCAGAAGGTATAATACATGACGGCTTCAGGATTTCAAGATCGACCACTTGTTTTGAAGAAATAGAGATTTTTGCAGTATACCCCTATTTAGTGCAAAGCATTGGAAATTAAGACTGCAAAACACCATCTATTTGAAATTATTAAGAAGCGATCATTATAAATCTCCATTTTGAATTTCAAAAGAGGCACATGGGTCAGCTTTCCCCAAATACATTTCATTAATCAGTTGGAAAGGATGATGTGCTACCTTTTCAGTGCAAAATGCGTTGACATCATCACGATCAAGGGTGGTGTCCTGGAGGGCTATGTCTTCTATGTAGAACGGTCGGACAGTCTCCAGCTTGAGTTTGGTGCACTTCATGGCCTTCCCACACACCTGCAGCAGGCCTACATGCCTAGGGATTGCGTGAGGGGTAGAGAGTTGGAGAAAAATGGAAGAGAAATCAACAGATACATATCGTCGGTGGTGTGACAAAACCTCGTATCTCAATTTTTTTGAGATTTTGATTTTTTTGCATAATTTTGTACCTAATGGCCCACGACACCACCTGATAAATCCATGGAACGCCTTCTGTCTCGGTTTTTCACAAATTCCACACAAAAACCCTTAAACTAAACCTCGTAACTTTAACCCCCTTTGAAGCTGCACTGACAAAACCTTGTAACATAAGATACGTAATTCCTTTTCCTCGTAACTCACACACGGCCTAACAGTACCGAAGTTAGTGTATTCAAATCCTCGTAACTTATTCAACCAAATCCTTCTAACTCATTCAGAGTTGAAAGTAAGAACTTGTATCTCAATTTGAATAAAAACTAAAAACTCGTATCTCAATGTAGATAAAAGCAAAAACCTCGTAACTCACTTTCAAATATAAAAACAATTATTTTACTGTATTTCAACAATGACATTAACAATTGTATAAATATTCCAGTTTTAAAAAGAAAGGACGGTGTCACAGCACTAAATTTGTTGAGACAGGAAAGTTTTTTCGCTCTCCTGAAAATTCATGATTTTTGAGATAAGAGGTTTTGTCACCCCACCGACGATATATATAAAAAAGATGATAAACAAAAAGGCAGCAGGAGGGGAGAGAGAGGAGGATTGTCAGAGAGGTGGGATGACAGAAGGGGAGAGAGGGGATGAGAGAGGGGGGAGGGGGTGAGAAAGAGAAAGGGGGAAGAATCGAGAAATACAAAAATTGAGAGAGAATGAGTAAGACAGAGAGAGAGAGAGAGAGAGAGTAGGAGACTGAGAAGGGTATCACTTGGTCAATTTTCAAATTCAATTCACATTAAAATGTTAACATTTTGGAAATGATACGATTTCCATCAAAACAAACAAACAACAGGAAAGAAAGTTATTCAAAAATGAGGTATACTATTAAAATGATTTTTCAACTATATGATGTATTAAAGGTATGATTATTTAACTGATTTATACTATGATATGATAACATATATATGTATTTTGACCTTTGTTAATACTTTATATGAACCTAGTTTGTATATTACTTTTTATTATGTTGAAAAATGCAAACAAACAAACAAAATAGAAAGAAAAATGAGTTTGGTGTCCGTGTGGAAGAAAGGCAAAAAGACTTACTTTGGCACTGCTTCTCCAGGCGTTAATGAGGTGGCTATACTACTACCAGGCTGGCTGATGAAGAAGTTCTGTGTAGCATTCCATACAGGATCAATCAGGCATTCATGCTCGCGACCCCAAATGACCAGGTCAATGAAGTTGTCCAGGAACTGTGCTGGGATGTAGTTGTTCCTACTACGCTTGGCTCTGAAAGATAGATAGGGAATAGATTAAATAATAATAGCTAATGTAATAATAATAATGATAATAGTAATAATAATAATAATAACAATATTATTAATATTTAATAATATTAATAATAATTAAAATGATAATAATAACAATAATGATTACAATAATAACAATATTACTAAATAAAATGGGATCTTGTATAGCGCTCATGGCGCTCCACAATTATTACTGTCTATATCATGCCATTATGGCGCTCTAGCATTGGAAGGAATTAATTCATGCCAGGTACCCATTCACTTCACCTGGGTCGAGTATGGCAAATGTAGATTGAAGTCAACGGTCTTGCAAATGGACATTATTGCAAGGAACTCATATATTAGCTAAACTTTGAAAACTTGACAAGTTCTTTCATTGTCAACAAAATAGTGACAATTTGCTTTCCATCAGCATTAAAAAAAACAAGAGTGCTATTTAGAAAAAAATGTACATGTAAACACACACAAATTCTAGTACAATAATTTTGTAATCAGCTCATGCTTACATTTGTTCCAAATCTCATATTAGATTCAGATGGTTAGATTGATAGAACGATAGACAATTAGTAATAGATGTATATATAAAAAGATAAACTTAAGGATTGCTCTTCCCTCTTGTGATTAAGTTTATTACTTTCTCTCCCCCTCTCTCTCTTTGACTTTCTCTCCCTCCCCCTCTCTCTTCCTCTCTCTCTCCATCCCTCCCTCTCTCTCAATCCCTCCCTCCCTCTCTCCCTCCCTCTCTCTCACTCCCTCCCTCCCTCTCTCTCTCCCTGTCTCTATTCCTCTTCCTTCTTTCCACTGAAAGCAATGTTATTGATAAATCATTCTTAAAGTCTCTCATTGCTAGCTATGTATTTCATTCAACGGTTCATTCTTTTATTTGCTTATTCATTCATCCCTTTATTAATTCATCCCTTTATTAATTCAACACTTTTCAATAATTTAGCTATAACAGTCATCTTTATTCAACATACAGGTATGACCACGTGTAGAGCATTATCCTCTTTCTTGTAGTATTGCTCGATTATCAGTATACAAATAATGCATTGTAATCATTTCAAACGTGCAGTGCTACACATGCATTTGCCCCTACAAGCTCACGTGCCAGGGGGCGCATTACGTTCTTTACAAACACAATTCTGCATAGTACTGATAATTTGTGCACACTGTTTAATGAAATTAAAAAACTTTGAAAGTCTTAATAAATGAATGATTGCGTTTTACTAATTGTTTGATTAGGATCTAGGAGTGAATTGTGTAATAACAAAATGCAATCTTGATAATAGGAGAAGGTTGAATTTACAACATACCTGTTTTGATGGATGACAAAGATATTAAACCAGGAATCAGCATTCTGCTTTGGTCTCAGCATGGAGATCTTTCCTGATAGGAACATCCGATGAAGACGTTCATCTCGTATGGAACCTGTAACCATGGAAAACATCATAATGCTATAAATAATGATGATGATGACGAGAACGAGAACGATGATGATGGTCATGAAGACAGTGATGATCATGGTCATGATGGTGGTGTAATAAAGTATCCAAGCAAGGTAGATCTACTTACATGTACAGTATCATTACTCAAGTCAGTAGATCCAAATAAATTGTTCTACCCTTCACAGTGCATACTCAAAACTCCACTGAAGAACATCCCTACCTCTGGCTTTTTTACAGACATGAAGGGAATCACATACAAAAAGTGCGCAAAATGACTGAATTAGAGCAATATAATTGGGAAATCACAAAGCTTTTTGCTGCGAAAAAAATGGCCAACATGAACAATTTGCCTGAAGCCTAAAGCTGGCAACCAGGAACCATATATTTAAATCAGTAATAATAATTATAATAATAATACCGGTAGTGAACATTTATAATGCAGGTTAAGGCAGTATGTCAGATAACTCAGATTAAGTAATATGTCTTATCTCCTATTCAGATCACAACTAAGTGTTTAACTTTGTAAGCAAACCAACTATAAGCCAAAATACATCATTAATCCAAAATTGCATTGCATGAAATGTGCATATTTCTGGGATAAGTATTGAACTGACAATCAGGTCTGGTAGGGCTGGGGTGGGGGGGGGGGGGAGACTTACCTAGTCCAAACATAGCTAGCTTGGTTATTCCTTTCTGAATAAGGATGGGGGAGATCTCGACCGATTCCAGCGAGGTACTTTTACCAAAGTAGTTCACCAAGCCACAGGCGCTCAGCATGTCTAGAGCAGACAGAGTACCCAGCTTCAAGAGTGCATAGGGGAAGGAAGATAATGACTTCTTTTTCTTTCTTCATTTAATTAAATGTCATAAATTCAACAACACTTCTTCCAACTATAAGCAAAAGGCTATGATTTGGCCATTTACAATAAATCAGTCCCAAAGAGGTAAAAAAATAAAATAGTTTCCATTCAATAGAATGGTAGTAGATTAGGCGTAAAACATCCATCTGGGTGGGAACTCTTTACATACAATATGAACCTGCCCCTCTTTCAGAAAACTCTGTTTGTTTTATACTAAATATAGGGTATCATCATAGGCTATCAAACTAGATGGAATTCGACTGCGCGCAGTCGAAAATGATGCCTCCGTCATAGAGCAATTTTACAAACCGAAACGGAAGAAATTTTTCAAATTCAAGTTCAATTGTAATCCATTAACATGTTCTCAGAATATCGTGATTACAAGCAATTTCTCATATACATATATGACCCTTTGATCTTTGACCTCATGACCCTAAAATCTACTCAGTTCATTGGCTCTGCAAGATTTCCTGAGTTAAATAGTAATCCATCTGTCAGTTCTAATGAGAATGCGTCCACAAGCTATTTTTGCATACATAATGAGCCCATGACCTTTGATCTTATGAACCATTCATTGGCTCTGCAAGATACATAAATGATCTAAGTTTGGCAGGAATCCATCAATCTGTTCTAATGATAATACGATCACAAGCTACATGTAATTAGTCCATAATGTAATCAGATCATCTACCTATTATGTTTATATGTCTACATGTAGGTGGTTAGAGAGATTTTAACTTTAAAAAAGCCAACACCTGGAAATTCATTCTATGAGTCGACTTCTGTGACCTATGACCCCTGAGCAAGTTACTACAAAATTAAATCGGATTGTATTCCTATGGGTATACACACTATCATCACGTTTGAAGGAAATATATCAAACAGTTCTTGAGGTTTTGCATTAAAAAAGCTATATGTACCTAAAATTTTGTCAGTTGACCTCTGACCTAGACACTTCAAAATTAAATCAGATCATCTTCCTAAGGCGATACACACTATCATATTTTAAAAAGTTTTTAACCCTTACTTAACTGGGGGGGGGGGGGGGGGAGGGAGGAGGGAGCCTCGGAGGCCCCCCCCCCCAAACAAATTTTGTTGCACATGAACCGCCATGTTTTCGGCGATGCTGCTTCATGAGTTTTTTCTTTCAAGTCTTACGGATCTTTTGACACCAAGTTTTTGAAAATCAGACATTCAGCTAGAGAGTTACTTGACCTATTGTGACCTAAGGTCAAGTCGAAAATTGAGAAATTTGTCATTTTGTGTACAAAATGAATGGCAAAGTGAAGTTTCTAGTTTGGTCTATAAATCAGCATAATTTTACTCTTTAGAGTTTAGTTATCATTTATTCAAGCAAAATATTGATACGTAACAACCTCAAGTATCAGAAGTCCTAAAACAATACAATACATAAGATTAAGAATTAATAACAATAGAATACAAAAGAAGTTCATAAAACAATGAAATACATAAGAATAGACCAGTTCACGGTTAGCACATTACTGCAATGACCCCGAATATCCACAGATCTTCAAAACATGAAGAGGTCCCACTTTTTACATTTTGGAATAATCACTCCTACAGCGATGGAGGTGCTAGTCTTTGTTTCCCCTTTTCAAAGAATACTTCCACCTGTGTATCATGGATTGCACTGAATGTGCAAGAATGAATAACGATTACATAACTTTCATGAGCACGTATCCAGTATTCCGTCTCCGTGTATTTCAAAATTTGTTCTGCAATGACCTTGATCTGCTCATGCTCAGACTGCAACCGTGAACTGGCTTATTGAAATAGACATGGACAATTTTTTTATGTGATAATGCCCGATAGGCTTTTTAGAAACTTTTTGCCACAAAATCAACTCTGTAAAAGCTTTATTTATGTAATTGTTAATAAAAATCATTATTCATGAATTTGATTTGCATAAATTAGCATAATTGATAAAATAAGTAATTTTCAGCAAAATCAAGGTCTCTTCCTTTATGCAATTGCATAAATTAGCATAATTGATAAAATAAGCAATTTTCAGCAAAATAATAGTGAGGTCTCTTCCTTTGCGCAATTTCTCAAGACGCGTGCCAAATTTCGAGGCAATCGGCCCCTCCCCCCCCCCCCCCCCCCCCCCCCAGTCAGGGAGGTGCTCAAAATAGCCCAGTTAAGTACGGGTTAAGTAACGGAACATATTTCAAGTGGTTCTTGACATATCATGACAAGTCCTATACATGTAGTCTGAATTTTTCAAGTTGACCTCTATGACCTTTGACATACATGTACTCCAAAATCTAATCTGATCGTTTTCCTATGGTGATATATATACTATCCTTAAGTTTGAAGTTTAAAATCTCAAATGGTTCTTGAGATATCGCGATAACGAGCTGAAGACATGGAACTTCACAAGTTGACCTTTGTGACCCTTGACCTACGTGCTCCAAAATCTAAACAGATCGTCTTCCTATGGTGATACATACTATCATTAAGTTTGAAGTGAAAATTCTCCAGTGGTTCTTGAGATATCGCGATAACGATCTCAATGTATGGAATTTCATAAGTTGACCTCTGTGACCCTTGACCTGTGACCTACGTGCTCCAAAATCTAATCAGATTGTCTTCCTATGGTGATACATACATGTACTATCATCAAGTTTGGAGTTTAAATCTCCAGTGGTTCTTGAGATATCATGATAACAATCTCAATGTATGGAATTTCATAAGTTGACCTCTGTGACCCTTGACCTTTGACCTACGTGCTCCAAAATCTAATCAGATTGTCTTCCTATGGTGATACACACTATCATTAAGTGTGAAGTTTAAATCTCCAGTGGTTCTTGAGATATTATGATATGGTGACATACTATCATTAAGTTGAAGTGAAAATTCTCCAGTGGTTCTTGAGATATCGCGATAACGATCTCAATGTATGGAATTTCATAATTTGACCTCTGTGACCCTTGACCTTTGACCTACGTGCTCCAAAATCTAATCAGATTGTCTTCCTATGGTGATACACACTATCATTAAGTTTGAAGTTTAAATCTCCAGTGGTTCTTGAGATATTATGATAACAATCTCAATGTATGGAATTTCATAAGTTGACCTCTGTGACCCTTGACCTTTGACCTACATGCTCCAAAATCTAATCAGATCGTCTTCCTATGGTGATACATACTATCCTTAAGTTTGAAGTTTTTACATCTCCAGTGGTTCTTGAGATATCATGATAACAATCTCAATGTATGGAATTTCATAAGTTGACCTCTATGACCCTTGACCTTTGACCTACGTGCTCCAAAATGTAATCAGATTGTTTTCCTATAGTGATACACACTATCACTAAGTTTGAAGTTTAAATCTCCAGTGGTTCTTGAGATATCATGATAACAATCTCAATGTATGGAATTTCATAAGTTGACCTTTGACATACGTGCTCCAAAATCTAATCAGATCGTCTTCCTATGGTGATACATACTATCCTCAAGTTTGAAGTTTAAATCTCAAATGGTTCTTGAGATATCGCGCTAACAAACTCAATACAAGGAATTTCATAAGTTGACCTCTGTGACCTTTGACCTACGTACTCCAAAATCTAATCAGATTGTCTTCCTATGGTGATAAATACTATTCCCGAGTCTTAAGTTTAAATCTTAAATGGTTCTTGAGATATTGTGATAACGGTCAAACGGGACGGACGTACGGACGTACGGACGGACAACCCGAAAACATGATGCCTCCGGCACCACCTTCGGTGGCGGAGGCATAAAAACACAAGATCCTCTACAGAAATACGATTAACAAAATTCATATTATAGTAATTTAATGTGTTGGAGCAAATAGGAGAATTGTCCAGCATAACTGTTTCGATCAAATAAAAATTCCAATATGTGTACCGATTACAACTTTTAAGAATTCATAACTTTCCAATCATCTGTCCCGTTTCATTCACACTTTCACTAGTCTGCTTCTCTATTTGTTCTGCTTTCTTTTAGGCACTTTGTGATTCAGGATGGATTTCCCTTTAGTACAGTTTTATTCATGGTCAGTAATTTGTGAGGTACATGAAGTGTAAACTCACCCCACGAGGATCATCATGATTGCCATGTATAGAGAAGATAGGCATGTCAATATTCAGGTTTGGATCTTCACAGTTCACATTTGGGAATCTAGTCATGAAGAAGAAGGAAGAAAAAAAAGGCAAAAAAAAGGCAAATTTATAGCACCCAGAAATGCTTCACCTTTTATATATATAATGAGAATAATTTTCGGAAAATTATATTTTTTTTTATATCTGGTCAACAGCTTGGCAAAAAAGAAAGACTAAAAAACATGACTGATAAGTATATTCATGGAAACATCATCAAATTCAAATTGGCAGCTCTGTTATCTCCCTTGCAAGCAGCTCTTATCTGTTTTGTACCAAGAATGATACCAAATTGGTTCTGTTTTTAAAATATTAGCTAAAATTTTAGCTCCTCAAGATACATTTCCCAGCTCCATATTCGTCTTTTCGCGCCACTTCATTTCGATAAGCTACCTCACTAAACTTACGGACTAGCTGCAAAGTTGACGCTCTGATCGCTGAGGAACTCGATCTGTACTGGTCTGTCGCCCATGCAGTACTTCCTGAGTAGGGTCATGACCCCATGTAAGGACCTCTTGGAGGGTGTGTTCTCATGAAAGAGGTTGCCTCCAATCAGCACCATGTCAACCTAAAACAGGCAAAGGGCCAGGTCAAATGGTAGGCTAACCAATATTATAAAACAGGTTATAGAATCTAGCCATCTAATTTTAATTTATATGAAAACTGTCATAAATTTAGTGACAGATTAAATTGTGACAGTTTTAGTTGGTGACACCAACTGCGACTTACTTTTATATGCCTTGTTACAAATAAATAAAATGGAACCAGCAAGAGTTACGAGTGTATCTGCAACATTAGTTGATCACCTGTTGACTAGTATAACCTTAACAACGTAAAGAACTACATGTATGTAGTTTGGTGAAGTTACATACCACTGTCTCTTGTTACTCACTAATGATTGACATATGATGTCACAAGATGAATGAGATCTGGAGCATTTTTTTAGGGTGGAGCTTAGCAGGTCTGATTTTTTTTTTTTTTTTTAAATATTTTACGATCTTTGAAATATACTTAGATGTTTGAATAACAACATATGCTGTATACAGCCACATTGACATGAATCAACTTATAATTGGATGCCACCCGACTTTTAAGCCTGTAAAAAGCCGGATGAACCTTTTCCAGGTTGATTTTGTACCTTCTAGCTGTACACACAAATATTTTAGATGATACACTTTTACTTTTATAGTACCTTGTTTTTTTGTGCCAGCTGCAGGATCTCCTCAAACGTGTCGATGGAGTCGCTGTGACGGATGAAATCTTTCTCCATGTATCCTACGTGACAGTCTGTGGCCACCAGGATCTTGATGGTGTTCTCATCTCCTTCATCCATGTTCCTAAAATATTAATAGAAAAGTACACTTCGTTTAACCTTTCATTCGCATCATAAATATGTATGCTTGTAAAAATTGTGATTTATTATTATAATTATCATCATTATTATCATTATTATTATTGTTATTATTATGGTTATCATTATTATTATACATATTAATTATTATTATCATCTGAATCATCATCAACATCCTCTCACTATATTGGGTCTGGATATTAAGGTACATGATGACCTGTTTAACTATAACATTGTGTATACATGTATATCATTATGTACATGTACAGATAAGTTTTTACACTTGAAAATATGTAATCAATCCCAAAACATTTGGAAGAACCAGCCCACGAGAAATACATGTACATTGTTGCATAGGGAGATCATTTGCATGTCACTTACAGATAAATAAAAAAAGAAGAAAAGACAGAATGATGCTAAACGGTTTTGAAAGCACTTTTTCAAGGAGAGTCAAAATCCTGTCTCATACTCTTGTATATGCTTTGAGATGAGTTTTGAAATATCATAAAGGTTTACCAGAAATAATCATGTTTATTTTGCTGGTGGAATAGTTTGTTGAGGGTAACCTCGCTAGTCGTAAGGACCGCTATTCATAACTTGTAACTTCCTAACGTGAATGACTGCTATTCATAAAACGAAAAGGGGGTCACTATTCATAACGGCATAATTAGGACCGTTATTCATAAGGACCACTACCGGTATTCATAATGTACGCACTTACAGTCTCCAGACTGTGTAGCACAAGGTACTGGGTTTGAATCCCTGCCACATCACCATGTCCTTTGGCATGACATAATTAAGTCTACATTTGCCACACTCGACTAAGTTTTATAAGCAGGTACCTGGTAGGATTTACTCCTTACACGCACTGAGCACTATATACGGCTGCAAACAGCTAAAGCAGAGGTAATACTATCTATAGTCTTTTGGAAGCGCATTTTAGCATAATGAATTGGGATGTACAAGAAGGGAATATTGTTATTATTAATATTAATACGTTGAAGAATAAAAATACTATACTTACCCAGGAACCTCATGATCAGAATCTTCAGAAGACGTATGGGCCATTACAGATTCTATGTCCTTTCTCCTGCAATCAAACAAATACATTCATAGTAGATCTATACTCTAGACAAATACTTCAACATCATTTTACATATCTCTTAAATTTGAAAGGGTGAATCCTTTGCATTATTAGAAACCGTCATAAGTCTAAGTTTGTGGAAATCCCATAAAAATGCGTGTTAATTCTATAACACACTTTTCAACGAGATGTCCACAAATTTAAATTTATGACGGTTTCACACTAGTAATGCCCTCCTGGTGTCTGGATGATACTTTTTATAACAGAAATTAAACTTCTACTACATAGTATTTTAGAAAATGTTCAAATGATATGGTTTTTGCCATTTCTTCTGTAAAATGTCTACCAATTTCATGTCAGTCCATGCATTCATTTCGAGTAAAGCCCCTTTCACACCGGATCAGCGTAGAGTTGCGTAGTGAGGTGTACCGAGTATGCCGAAATTAGGCTGCTATTCATGAAAAAATGTTGCTTCGGCGTAGTACCTGCTTAGGTTATGTTTAGGCTGCCGTACGATTGCGTATGGTTACGTACCCGGTGCATAGGCACTGCGTACCTACGGCGCATGCGGTTGGCATACCAGGTACGTAGGTTTGCTTACAGTTGCGCATGGTTGCTTACTGCGTGTGCAAAAAGGATCTAGGAGTAGGACGTCTTAATTAATTTATACGTACACAGAGATTCCAAGTTGAAAGATCAGCTATGCGTGACATTTTAATGACTCGGCGGGAGAGGGTATAGCGTATAGCGTACGTTTCTAAATCGGGGGCGTGTGTGACGAGGCGAGAAAGCCGGCCTGCATGCATGCTACGTGCATGTGATATACATACACAAACCCTGCGAGGAGCTAGCGAAGGCCTCGAGGCAGTCGGCCAGTACGTAGTCTAGCAATTACTTCTTTTTTCTTTTTTTCTTCCCAGTATGGCCCTGATGCGTTACAAAATTTATGTCCATGCGTGACAGCGTTTTCAGACCCTCGATGCGTGGCTTTCACGCACAATGCGCGACACTTGGTAGCTCTGCTTATACTGCTTCGTCGGACTGGTGTAGGGTAGCTTACTATTGTGTAGTTGTTTCGTAGAAAATGCGTACGTTTTGGGATTAGTGTCTCCGCTGATAGTAGGCCAAAAAAAACAAATTAAATTTTTTTTTAAAAAAAACAACAATTGTTTGCGTCCATCTCGCGTACCCCTTTGCAGAGCTACCAAGTGTCACAAATTGTGCGTGACAGTCATGCATCCAGGGTCTGAAAATGCTGTCACGCATGGCAACCACTTTCGTCACTAATCAGGGCCAGACAGGAAAAAAAAGGAAAGAAAAGGTAGTAATTGTTAGACTAAGTACTGGCGGACCGCCTCGCAGGCCTCAGCTAGCTCCTCGCAGGGTTGACGTATATCGCATGCACGTAGCATGCATGCAGGCCTGCTATTACGTCACGTCACGTGCGTATATACTACGCCAGCGTACGCTCTGGGTTGTCGGTAAGCAACACTACACAACTGTACGTATGGCCCGGTGTGAAAGGGGCTTAACCCTAAAATAAAATCTTTCAGCTACAAATTCCCATAGACGTGTACAAATGAAATGGCACAAATGCTTGAGCGCACACGCAGCTCAGAGAGCACACACAAAGGCCTGAATTCCCAAAGGAGGCTTGTCGACAAACCTAGGTTTATGTGCTTCAAAACGTGTAATATGACGCACATATAAACCTAGGTTTGAGGACAAACCTCCTTTGTGAATTCAGGCCTTAGGGTTCGGCTTATGCCGAAAGGGTGGATAGCGTCGCGTCGCGTTGACTAGACTTGAACGCGACCATTCTTCCAAAGCCCCCCCCCCTCCCAGGTTTGGCCGAAAGGGTGCGTTGGGAGTGTTGCGTCGCGTCGAACACGACTTTTCGTCCAAAGCCCCCCCCCCCCCCTAGGTTTGGCCGAAAGGGTGCGTTGACTAGTCTTCCACATCAGTCGTTTATAATAGAATTTACGGAATACTAATTTAAGTTGTTTAAATTCAAATAATCAAGATAGAAACAGATTAAAAATTAAATAAAACTAGTTTTTACGTAGTCTTGCAGAGCAGGCGTTTATAAAAATTACATCAATTAAGGAATTATTAATTATTGATTTAATTCTTATAAATGCCTGATCTGGGGGGGGGGGGGGCTTTCTGAATTCCATACATAGCAAGAAATGGATATTATTTTTCATTATTTTAATAAGTAAACGACTGATATGCAAGACTAGGTAAACACCTTTATTAGACATTTTATATATTATCATAGTAAATTATTTGATTGTGTTTCTTGTTATATATTGATTTAATTCTTATAAATGCCTGATCTGGGGGGGGGGGGCTTTCTGAATTCCATACATAGAAAGAAATGGATTTTATTTTTCGTTATTTTAATAAATAAGCGACTGATATGCAAGACTAGGTAAACACCTTTTTGATTATTTGAATTTAAACAAGTTAAATTTCTTAAATTCTATTATAAACGACTGATGTGGAAGATAAGTTAACGCACCCTTTTGGCCAAACCGGGGGGGGGGGGGGCTTTGGACGAATGGTCGCGTTCTACGCAACGCGACACTCCCAACGCACCCTTTCGGCCAAACGGGGGGGGGGGGGGGGGGGGCTTTGGACGAATGGTCGCGTTCTACGCAACGCGACACTCCCAACGCACCCTTTCGGCCAAACGGGGGGGGCTTTGGACGAATGGTCGCGTTCAACACGACGCGACACTCCCAACGCACCCTTTCGGCCAAACCAGGGGGGGCTTTGGACAAATGGTCGCGTTCAAGTCAACACGACGCGACACTCCCAACGCACCCTTTCGGCATGAGCCTTTGGGTCTAGATCTATCTAGTCTATGTGTAAGTAATGTGCATCTATAGGGCTAGGGCTCTGTGAAGCAGTTGGGGAGGGTAATTTTGAAATGATAATGATTAAGATGTGATCTCACAGAATTTTATCCAAATTTTCTGCAGGATCACGTACCTTTGGAACATTCAAAATAATTTTTTTAGCTGATTTAGCATAAAAACAGCCGACACATTTTAGCTGACCTGGCTTCACGTCTAAAAATCACGGCGTCAGACATTTACTTACTTTATCTTACCACCACACATAGGAGCATCACTATCCTGGCTGTGGTAGTAAAAGCTGTGTTTTTGATTCACAACATTTCAAACACCACTGTACAAAACTCATCTGATTTCACTCAAAATCTGTACTTTAGTGACAATTGATGACACCTAAATAGCAGTAATATACATTTGCCTCAACTTACTGATGTTAAAAAGAATAATTTAAAAATTCAAATTGTAGACTAGGGGTCTAAGTCTAGTGTCAAATTTGCCGATCAGCCCAATCGGTCCTATTGACAGTCTATGCAATATTGTATGGTGTGTATATTTGTGTATAGATCTAGGTCTAATAATACCTGCCTCACAGCAAGTATGCAGTGCAAGAGGTCAATACGCATTAGCATGCTTTGCTGGAGTGACTACCACTACCAGCTATATCTAGTGCCCAGTGCATTGGCGCTGGCTGTACCTTAATTTGCCTGGCTTTACCCGAGATTCTGGAAGAATATGCTCAGCTGTCAGCAGTCACGCTTCCATGCATGCAGTTCCAGTTCGTGTATTCTTCCTTCTCATAGTTGGGTGTCAAGCTTCTAAGCAAGTAATCTGGTTTAGTTGTTGGTATCTGTGTCGGGTATTGTGTGGAGCAGAACCGCTACCCATGCCCGATCCAGATTCACGGTTTGATGGAAGTTGGGGATTTCCCTGTCTGCACGGGTTAGCAAATTTCCCGCCAAGCTTTGACGCCCTCTAGATAAATAAGTTACCAAAACGCGCGGACAAAAAAGTTAATCATTACATGATTTAAATCAACATTTACATTCGTTATGTTTGTTTTATCATAATGCACTAGCTTATACTGATGGGGGGGGGGGGGGGGGCAGATACCCAAAATAAAATTCAAACGTGGACCGTGGTTTATTTCTAATTCGATACCAGTTGGACTATTTACAAATGTTGCTGAAATGACAAGATTTCCGTTTTTTTCTTCTCATTTTTGGCCAGTATGCCATAGAGGCGGCACTGCCAAACTAGTGGCGGATCCAGGGGGCGTTATTTTTTTTCTGCGGCACAGATTGGGGCTTTTTTTAAAAAGAGGTCTTGATTTAACCCTAATCCTAACCCTAACCCTTAACTTTCCCATAAGCTCAACACGCACCTAACCCCAATCTGTGCAGCAGAAAAATATAACGCATTCAGGGGGGGGGGGGGTCCAGGGGGCACGGACCCCCCCCCCCCCCTGGGAAAAAAACGTGTAAAAACACATTATTATTTTTTTTTTTTAGATGGCACCCCTCCCCCCTGGCGCCAAACCAAAAAAATGGGGGGGGGGGGGGCAAAACGCATTTTGGCACCCCCCCCCCAAAAAAAAAAAACGCCCCCCCCCCCTCCAAAAAAAAAAAGTAGTAAAGGATCGTGTTAAGATGGTTTGTATTTCTAACCCAAAAAGAACATAACCATACAAAAAACCTGAATTAAATAACATATATACAATTCCATTCAAACAAAAGGAAAGTAAACAGGAATTAAAATTCCTAAACATTGCGAATGCCCCTATATTTATCAATTGAGGCTTTTATAATAACGATACGCGCATATCGTGGACATATTGTGTAAGAATGGGAAAGCGTGTCTGTTTGTTATAGGGGTGAGAAGACATGAGCCCCTTTACGCTGGCGTACTGATGAGGGGGGGGGGGTCGGGGTATTTATTTTGCTATACCAGTGATTTACAAATGTTGCTGAAATTACATGATTTTCTGGTATTTTTTTCCTATTTTTGTGTAAGTCATACATATCTTTTTATGCGTTTATTGGAAAATTAGAATTCCCAAATTTATAGTCGGGCGAAAAATATGCTTATTTAGAAGCCTTTATGTCATGGTCTGCAAAATGGCTGGCCATGGGGCTCGAACCCTC